CAAGGTGACCAAGGCAGAGAAGAAGTCTTATCTCAAGATCCTGCAGCACTTCGACCAGGTCATGGAGACAGCGGGCTACAGCGGGGCTGATGGCCCGGCTTTTGTGAACCTGGACGGTCTGATGTGTGCCCTCATCCCGGAATCTGCGCAGTGTCCTTAGCGTGTTAGCTTTAGGCTGTTTGGGGTTGAGGTCCGTTTTCAGAGTTATCAAGCCCAATAGCAGCCAACGAGCAGTGATGAAAGACATGCTGCGCCGGAAAAAGAACTGATGCTGAAGCCTCTGTCTTGTAACCTTTTGGTGTCCGAGCCTAGCCTATCGCTTTTGCATTGTCGGTTCCCTGAAATCGGTCTTCCTGGGCGTGGACACGACCTGAAAACGTCGACTTCTGGTAGCCATGGATGGCCTGTAACTCAGCTTTACGGCTCCTTTGCGTTTGTGCTGGGTGCAGGATGTGTCACATTAACGATGTTATTTAGCCTGTTGTGCGCATTCCATTCTAAAGGCCTTGATTCCTTGTGCTGTTTCGGGGAAGGAACTTTTGTGCCTTTAGATCGAAAAGCACTAGCAGTGACTGCGCTGAAATTTGAAGAGCAAGCTAAGGCTATTGCTAATGTCCACTAAGCCCCCTTTTTCACAACCTCCTAGTCCTAGACCTTACCCAGGAATTGATTTGAAGTGCATTTGCTGTGCAAAAGACTGCAACTTGTGCTGTCGGCTGAGGCCCGCCCCCGCTTCTGAGCAAAACCGTCCAGATGTCTTCAGGTAGTTGTATGGTTGAGACTGCAGCTTCTTCCGGGGCCGCCGCCAGCCCAAAATGTTCAGTGAAGGGGTCGCTGGTAGGAGTACAAGAAGAAGAAGAAGTGCTACTGTAGTAGTAGTAGTAGTAGTCGTCGTCGTCGTCGTCGTCGTAGTCGTAGTAGTCGTAGAAGTTGTAGTAGTAGTAGTCGTCGTCGTCGTAGTAGTCGTAGTAGTCGTAGTAGTTGTAGTAGTAGTAGTAGTCGTCGTCGTCGTCGTCGTCGTAGTCGTGGTGCTGGTGCTGGTGCTGGTGCCGGAGCTGCAGCTGGTTGTGGTGGTGGTGGTGGTACGTAGTAGTAGAGGTAGTTTAGGAGCAGCAGGAGCAGCAGCAGTGGCAGTAACAGAAGTGGAGACAGAAATAGAAGTAGAAGTAGCAGTGAAACGGGACGTGACAGCAGCCGCTAGCAAGTGTAATATAGAAGCCTTAATGATTACCTATACTATTTTGACGGCTCCCTTTTATAATTACAGTATACTATACCCCCCAAAACCCTATGCTAATTTTTTAAGGCCACTACAGTACTGATTCGTCAGATACTCTCTGCAGGTCTGGGCGATCTCTGAGGATTCCGTAGATCCTGAGCTCATGAATGGAAGGGATCCCGAGGTGCGCTCAGGGTTTGTGTGTTTGGGCTCCATAAACTCAAACCCGACATGTCTGACATTAGCGTCGTATCTTCGACATGTATGAACTCTACATCCCATCAAACCCTAAAGCTCTAAACCCAAGCATGTCGGCTTGGAGTTCGGCATGCAGGATTCTGTTGACTCTTATTTCTTGTGCTGTTGCAATTGGTGTAGGGGGGTCTCAAGGCTGACACGGTTGGAGGGTTTCTGTCGCTTTCGGCGGTTCGCTTCCGTTGCAGACGCTTGTGCCGGTGATCCCTCGTAGCTGTCGGCTTCGCCTAAGCATGCAGTTTGAAGCCCTAAACCTTAAGTTCACTCAGATTGAAATGCCGCTGTGGGCTCGGTATTCGAATACTTTGCCTGCAGAGCTTCGTGAACCGGGGCGTGGAGTTTGGGTGACTGACAGCATCACTGAATGACTGAATGAACGAACGGATGGAAATACTGTATGCATGCATGGATGAATGCCTGCATGTATCTGTTATATTTGTATGTGTGTACGCATGCATGTACGTCTGTCTGTCTGTATGCATGCATGCATGCATGTGTGTATGCATGTATGTATGTACGTATGTACGTATGCATACAT